TTGACTTTAAGATCGGTCATGACATAAACCAGCACTTACCGCCAGCAGAGCTGCTAAAGTAGAAATCTGGCCAAGTTGCCACCCTCCAGAAAGTTCTTCAGAGGCTGCCTTTCCCCCACCCCAGGCTCTTCCTCTTCTGACTCCTGCCTACTTTTGCCATTTCCAGAACATTCACACTCATCCTTGTCCTTAAAGCCAATCAGGCCAAGTGGATCTATTTGCAGTTAGTCCCCTGAATAGCTGCGATCAGCTGGATCTTTTTTGCATTTGCACCGATGTTTCTTTACTTCTTTCTTTTTTTAGAGGTTTTGGCCTTAGGGCACTTGCACTCGCTGAAGAGGGAGAGAGAGAGAGAGAGAGAGAGAGAGAAGGAGACATTGAGAGGGAAGGTGAGAAATCATCCCCCCAGTAGAGATGGCCACACCACAATTCCTTCTCCTCTATTCTCCTCCTGGGACCGTGGGCATGCACACACCCATGGCCAGTGTGAGTTTCAAGACACTGGGTCCAAGATTCGAACCATGGCCGGACATGTGGGGGTCCAGCAAGGTAACTCCTATGTCATCTGCTGGCCCCACACTGATGTTTCTGATGCCTTAAAAGTTTCTCTCACCGTTTCTACTCAGAGTTGTCTTGCACTGAAAAAACACCCTGGCCCAACTGTGCTGGAATAGGCAGTAGCGTGCCACCCCTAAAGCTGGAGCCACAAGGGCAGCCAGGTTCTAATCCTGGGTTGACTTGAACACACTGGGTACCCTCATGATTCTGGCTGGCTGGGAGGCTGGGGGAGGCATAATAAGACCTTTCTCTCTCTCTTCCTCCCTTTCTCTCTCTCTCTCAAGAAATAAATAAACTTTTAAAAAGAATGATTTATTTATTATTTTGGAATTTACTATAGGGCATGCGCACTCACCAGGGACAGAGAGACAGAGAAAGTGAGACAGCAAGCCTCCATGTTTGGGCTCAAACTTCAGTCAGCCATGTTGGAGTCCAGCGCCTCAACTACCAGGTCACCTGCTGGCCCATAAAATAAACTTAAAAAAAATTTTTTTTTCAATTGCCAAAGGGTGCATGTGCTCTCCAGATTTCGCCCCTCAATGGGTTGTAGTCACGCCACAATCCTCTCCTTTCTGTCTGGACTTTTTAAGTGCAGAACTAAACCTCAGTCTATCTCATGACTCCCTTTTGGGACAAGCTCCTTATTTTGCAAATAGATGCTTTGAAAATTTCCATAGAGGGCTCTTTGCTGCTTACCACTCTCAAGTGTCTGCCTGAGTTTTCAATTTGGACTTCTTCCTGCCCTCGGTGAAATAAAAACAACAGAACGCTAAAGCTTAAACCAAAACCTTTATTTTAATGACTGTCTTAAAGGCTCAGTGTTATGTAGAGTCATCAGTGGAAATCAGGGAAAACCAGTCTCCCTTTCAACCCAGCACTGGGTTTGGAAATGAGAAAACCCCCAAAATCAACAAAAACAATTTCAGTTCTTCTGTAGATTATTTAAAGCCAATGATTTCAATCCAGTGTACCGTTAGGAATTTAAAATAAAGCACACGGACCAGCCAGGGGCATGTTGGTCAAGGCAACTGGATCGTACATGGTCGACTGCGTGGTTCGAGTCCTGGCAGCTTGAGAAACACTCCAGGCACGTGTGCATATTGTGATAGGCAGTTAGTTAGCCATGAGCGGGCAGCCCTAAGAGAAAAGCGAAAGGCTCACCTAGCCCCGGGCACCAGGAGGGCGAGGCAATTTGCCATCTTCCTTCCTTGGGGCGTGAGAGAAGCACACAGGGATGATTTGCAGATTTTTCTCTTATCAAAAAGACCCAAGCAAGCATTTTGATCAACACCCTAATCCCCAAGTAAGCGTTTTGGTCAACGCCCTAATTCCCACTAGGTCAACGCCCTAATTCCCACTAGGACGATGAATTAATTAGGCAGTCTAATTAAACAACCTGGCTCACACTGGGCATGCGCAATTAGGTAATCAAATTCCTCACACCTTACCTGTGAGAAAAGTGTGCAAGTGCAGGAGGAAACACAGATTCGAATTTAAACGAAGGACATAGATAGTGTAACAGACCTCCCACCAACAAATATTCATCACCTCTAATAATAAAAGTAACGGTTAACTAGTACCAAGCACGGTTGCCACTTAACAATCTGCCCACCTGAGAGTCTTTGGGGTGTATTCCTTTTCCTTTCCTTTCTTTCCTATTAAATCTTCCTTTGGGGTGTATTCTTTTCTTTCCTTTCCTTTCTTTCCTATTAAATCTTTTCTACCTACTTCATTCGTGGTTGTGGTTTCATTTTGCACCCAGGGACAGATCTCTAATTTTAGTGATCTGGACCCGAAAAACCAGGGACTTCACAACGCAGCTCCACACTCTCCCATCTGTTAACAATATGTGTACAAAATCCAGAGAGAGAATGGAGAAGGGATTGCCGTGTGACCACTTCCCATGCTTTCTCAACTTCCCTCTCTCTCTCTCTCCAGCAAGTGCATGTGCCCTATAGCAAAATTTAAATAAATAAATAAAAATAAAATGAAGCTCAGTTAACGTGGCTTGTGGCAGTCACCACGACTGGTCTGTGCTAAAACATGTCAGCAACTACAAGGACTCGTAACTATCCGAAACAGTAGAGCAATGAAGGAAAAGTGGAAAGATGGGAGGAGCATAAGAAAGAAGAATGTTACATGACAGGGAAGGAGGAAAACAGAGACTTTATAAAGAGAAATACGACAGACATGAGGGGACTCTGAGACTGACACATCTGCTTGTTGGGGTAGGGGTAAATAAGCATGTCTTGTAGGGGCCGGCAGGTGGAGTGGTGGTTAAGAGCGCTGAGCTCTCACATGGTCGACTGCCAGTTCTTGTCCCAGACCTCTTGGCTTGCTCTCTCTTTCCTCTCTCTCTTTGTCTCTCTCTGGTCAAAATTAGAAAATAATGATAATAAATCAATAATTCTTGGAAAAGGAGTATGTCTTGGGGCCAGCAGGTGGCATGGTGGTTAAAGACACTGGATTCCCACATGGCCAGCTGTGGTCCAAGTCCCGAACCTGGTGGCTCACTTTCCCTTCTCTCTCTCTCTCTCTCTCCTCTCTGCCTGTCTGGTGAAATTGAAAAAATAATAACAAATGGAATTAAATAAATAAATACATTTTTTAAAAAGTATGTCTTGTAAGTAAAAGACATGGGAGGGTCAGGCTAAAGAATGAGTCTGGGAGCTGAGCTAAGTAACTGGATGAAACAAGAAGTATCTCCACCTGTAAGCAGGACTGACAGCAGTGAGAGTCTCAACTCACACAGAGTTTCCACTCAAAGACCGGAAGCATCAGCAGGTAGAAAGGAAATGCATGGGAACGCAGCTGTGAGCCGATGGCCTGGTGGTTGGGGCCTGGGCTGTCACATGGCCCAGTGTTTAACAGCTTGCTTCCTCACGCTCCTTTTCTGTCTCTTTCTGATGAGCTCACGTGCCCTATAGCAATTTTTAAAAAAATATTTATTTATTTAATTACATTTGTTATTATTTTTTAATTTGAACAGAGAGAGACAGAGCAAAAGAGAAAGTAAGGAAGCAAGTCGCCAGGTCCAGGACTTGAACTGCGGCCAGCCATATGGGAGTGTCCAGCACCTTAACCACCACGCCACCTGCTGGTCCCCAGCAAATTTAATAATAATAATAAAATGAAATTATTCTTTTTTTAAAAAAAATAGTGCAGTAATCCTAGCATCTTGAGGAGGTCCCTGTAAAAGGACAGCGCTGGTCTGCAAACCGCCTCTAAATTGCAGAGCTGTCCACAGACTTCTGGGGCAGAGCGAGATTCAGGCGGCCATTCCAAGGCTAAGAACAGGGGCCTCAATTCTGAATACGCTTGAAGTACTGAACCTTCCCACTGCAGAGGAAGCCTTGCATTCCCCAAAAGAAGACTGTTTCCATCTCTTCTGTTTATAAATTGTAAACAAAAATAAAGTAACACTGGGCATCAAATACCTTAACTGGCAAAACGTAATTCTTGTTCATTTTAGCTGCCGGGGCAACTCAGTGATTTTTTCCTCCCCTGCACCAGAATGCATGGAAATTCTGAAGGCCAAGCCGGCGCTGGCTGAAACTTTCAGAGTGATCCCTCTTTCCAGCACACACCAGAGCACTGCAGGAGTGGCCTGGTCAGTATCTCCATTTCCAGAAAGATTTGGTTCCGAGGCAGAGTGCATTCCGCGACCTCAGCATGGCCTCGAGGAACCTGAAGTTACCTCCCCGCAGCGGTAATAAAGAAAGGCACCTGGGACCAGCAGTTAGCGTAATGGCTATGTCGCTGGACGCCCACGTAGTCGACTGCAGTTCGAGTCCCGGACCCGGTGGCTTAAACTCACTCCAGGCGCGTGTGCGTGCGTGCCCAAGATCCCGAGAGGAATCCCGAGAGGAGAACGGAGGAGAAGGGATAGCGAAGTGGCCATCCCCCCCTGGGGGGTGATTTCTCCCTTTCTATCTCTCTGTCTCTCTCTGTCTGTCTGGCGAGAGCACGCGCCCTATAGCAAAAACCTCTCCAAAAAAAGAAAAAAAAAAAAAAGAATGGAGGAGAAGGGGTTGCGGCATGGTCATCCCCCCTGGGGTGGGTGATTTCTCGCTTTCTGTCTCTCTGTCTCTCTCTCTGTCTTTCTGGCGAGCACACGCGCCCTATAGCAAAAACCTCTCAAAAAAAAAAAAAATTACAGGCACCTTCCGGAGAGACCGCGGAGTGCCGGTTAATTTGCACCCTCCTCCGGGTCACAGACTTCAGCCCCAAGTTACCCAGCGCCTGGAGAGGCAGGGAGCGAGCTGAAACGGCGGGGGGACCCGGTTTGGGTTCGCTGCCGGCTCGGGTTCGCTCCCGACCGCACCTAGCCGCGTTCTCGCCGGCTGACCCGCCTGACTCATCTGGGATGGGTGGCAGCGGGTGGGGGAGATCTCAGAGGGCGGAGGGACAGGAGGAGGCGGGCCGGGCCCTTCCCCTAGAGGCCGGAGGAGGCGTCGCCAGGGCGCAGGTGAAACCGACTCCGACCTATCCCGGGAACTTTCGCTGCTGCGACTCTGCCAGAGGCCCGCGTCGCGCCGGGGCGACCTGGGAGCTACCTTGGCCCACCCTGGCTACGCGCCGGGGCTCAGCCCGGGTACTGCTCCCAGAGGACCTGCGACCCTCCTGGCGCGCTCGCAGGCTGTGGCTGCTGATGGAGGCGGGCGGTGCGGCCCCGGGCACAGGTGACACACGCGGGGCCAGGCTTTCTGCTGCCGGGGCAGAGCTCCGAGCGCGCGAGACGCAGACACCCCAGGGGCAAGGGACCACAAGGTAGCGATGGCCCAAGAGCTGAGCCAGGAGGCACTTCTGGACTTTCTGTGCCAGGCCGGGGGCCGAGTGACCAACGCCGCCCTGGTGGGCCACTTCAAGAGCTTCCTCCGAGACCCCGCCGCGCCCCCCAACGAGCACCAGCACCGGCGCGAACTCTTTAAGGGCTTCGTCAACTCCGTCGCCGCAGTGCGCCAGGACCCCGACGGCACCAAGTACGTGGTCCTCAAGAGGAGGTACAGGGACCTTTTAGGGGAAGAGGGGCTGCAGCG